AGCCCTGGAGCTCCCCAACGGAGCACACCATGGGCTCACATCACCCTTTCGAGGATGAAGCTGCCCACACTGACAAAACACGTCACTCGTGTTCGCCAGCGGCCGCCGTGCCCCAGGCCACCTCCACCTCCACCTCCAGCGTGGCTCGCGGCGTGGCTCCCAGGGTTTCCACGGGTGCGTCCCGCTTGCGGGATCCCCCAGCCATCTGCCCCTGCAGGGCTGGAGCCAGGGCACAGGCGTCCCCACGACGAAGAGCTTCTCAGGGACGATCTCACCCAGGGGGAACCACGAGCATGGTGAACTCTGCACACACAGGTCCCTGCCTTCAAGATTGTCATTGCCTTTATAAAGGCAGAAGGCAATGTTTGAAGAGCAGTAGCTCAGTGTGCCTGGTATGCGACAGACCGGAATATGCAAATGCCCTCCTTGTTCCCTGTATCATTAGTGCTGATGGGCTTTATGAACAGGAGACCGGGAAATTGGCCATTGCAGCCTCCCAGACTGCAATAGCGGCACATCAGGGAGACAATGATCTGAACCATCATGAGTTCAGAGACCAGCTTCATCCTCCCAGTGTGAAATCAGACCCTCTCTCCTGAAAGAAAATCAGAGGATTTTTTTGTTTGAAGATTGATAAAGTGCAGCAATATTCCTGAGCACCCTGCAGGCCCCCGCTCAGCCGGGGCTCCGAGACGGGTTAAGGATCCCTGACCCTGCCTGGCTGGTTATTGTCTGGAAGGGGAGGATAATGCAGATCCCACTGATACAAAAAACATGTTTCTGACACTAATATAGTGCTCGTCCAGCCCAGAAGAGTGACAAATGGCAGAGACAGGAATTAAAGCACTGCTGAGACTCAGAGACACCGGTAACGACAGGCTCTGGCAGTACCGCGGTCCAAAGCCCAGACCCGACAACTCTGGTGTCACAATTATGAATGAAGCTGCAATTAGTGACATTAAAGTGAGTGGCACTAAGAGCAAAGCAGACATGGCGAAATAGAGCCCACCGGAGCCGCCATCGTGCCACGTTCCACCTGATGGGCTGACAAGCACGGACCACCACCTCCGCCAGCGCGAGGTGCGGCGTGCGGCTCGCGCCGCCCTGGCTCTGCCCGCGGCACCACCACAGCCAGGCAAAGCCGGCGGCCGGTGCCCTCCAAGAGGCCATCTCCACCGCAGCCCACAGGGCAGAGCTCTCACCAGCGCGTCCCCTGCGCCTTCTCACAGAAGTCCCCCGACGGCAGGCTTCGCCTCAAAGGCACATCCTGCCATCTGTACAGGCAGGGCCTCCAAAAGGCTTTACCTGAGCGAAGGCCACCGTTTGTTCTTCAGAAGTTCAGGTATGGCAGAGCCTCACGGTGGGGAGGGCCCAACCCTGATGGGCAGCAAGGTCAGGGCCCGAGAGCTGTCTTGAAACGGCACAAAGCTCTGACTGCCAGGGAGAAACATGGAAAACAAGGAGGCATCCCACCAGAGCTGGGGCGAGAGCAAAGCAGCAGAGGGATCTGCCGGCCACTGCTGCGAGGGACACCGAACGCGGCGCGGCTGTCAGCCCCGGGACCTCCACAGCTTTGCTCATGCCTGGACCCTGATGTCTCTTGCTTGTGCAACATCACTGCAAACCCCTGAAGTGCAGGAAAGTGTAGGAAAGGAGAAAAACATGACGTGGAACGAGCCATCGTCTGGAAAATGCATGACAAACAACAGCTAATCAGCTCGGACAACAAACCTCTGCTCCCAATTCTTACAACGTGCATACAAAAATGAGTAAATTACTAAACAGCCCAGCTGCATACCTTCAGCACGGACATGATTGGGATGAAGGGAATGGTATTTGCACGGGCTGAGGTGGCATTTCTGAGCCCCTCTCCAGACCTTACCACTGGAGACCCGTCACTCGGGAGGAGGCTGTTCTGCTGGGTTTATGGGCCGAGGAACCCCCAGCTCAGGCTCGGGGCGCTTCTGCCTCACCCAGCGCGGTGCTGTCTCACACACGCAGCCCACGGGGGCCCCGAGGAGCTCGCTCAGACGCACACCCCGCTCTGGCAACTGGGAGGCAGCTCTGGGAGCTCCCGGGGGAAGCCCCTGCAGGCAGCACTGGAGGAGCACTGCTGAGTGCCGGGGCGGGAGGGCTGGAGCCGCAGGGGCAGCCCGGGTACCTCGTCCGGGCTTCACAAGCGTACTGGGAATCATGCCTGTGGCAGCTGACGAGGGAGACAAATGGGAGCCAAAGTCCCTCCCTGGCACTCTCGCCATGTCACGAGGGCAGCTGGCATTGCCACAGCCCGCCTGCCATCCCTTCTACGGGTACAACAAGGAGCAGGAGTGGCAACAGATTCCCACAGCGCAGCCAGCACACGCTCAGCTTTGGGGAACAGGTCCAAGGGCTGAACGAACACGATTATCTTTATGCAATGTTGCAGATTTCAGGTTTGCGGCGCATAAGCAGCAGAACCCTCCCTGACTGCTCGGCTACCAGATAAGGTTTCTCCCCACGGGGAAGGCTGGGCCTGTACACTTGCGACGTTTCATCAAGTGGAGATTTTATCTTCAGAATCTGGGGCAAAAGGAAAGCTGCATCCATGTCCTCACCGCATGCACGGGGCCCGAGGCACGCGCCAACCGGCTCCTCCAGAGCTCTCCCTCCCGCAAAGGCTCCCGCCGTCCCCCATCAGCCATCCCAAAGCACAGCAGCACTGCGCGGTGGGGCGAGAGGGGCACCCTCGGCACCGCGCAGCATGAGGGCTATCGGCAAGGCAAGCCACCACAGGCAGAGGACGAGGCACAACTGCCCCGCATCAGGGAGTTTCTGTGACCACCTCGATAAGCAGCTTGCACTTGTCCTAAACATGCATTAAAGTGGCATTAAAGCAGCATCAGGAAGTGCCACAGGTGCCACAGAGCAGCCAGGCTGGCAGAAGCAATGGGCAGAGCAGAGCAGTGCCATCCTCGCCCACAGGAGAGAGTGGATCAGCTCCCCGCTGTGGGAAAGGGGTCTGCATCACAGCGGGGAACAAACTCACCCCACAGAAAGCCTTTCCTTGCCTACGAGGCCACAGCAGCCAGCAGGGCCAGCTGGTTGTCACTTACGTGTTCCTACTCATCACCCCCCGTGACTCCCAGGACACCCCACAGCCCTGCAGAGGCTGAGCCTCCCAGATCCACAGGAGAGAAAGGACGGACGCTGCCACAGGGGACACTGCCCTTGCTGCGGGGAGGTGCAGGAGAAGCAACCTCCAGCCCTGAGCCACACAGCATTGCAACATCCACACACTATGCCCAGCCCAGCGAGACGATCCTCCCAGGGACTGTCATGTCATGTCATGTCATGTCTTCCCAGGTCCATCCTCCACCCACTCCAGCATAAGCATTTCTGATGCTGTTTCTGCTGCAACTCTTTAAACTTCTGTCCGACTGGTTACTGACCTGCCTGAGAATGTGACCCAGCTGCACATATTTTTAGGCTTAACTACGTATTTGAGCTGAGGCAGAACACAAGTATGCTGGTTTCGGGCTCCCAGCCTCAACAGGGAGCATGGGAGGAGCTATTTTGGTATGGAAAGGGCAGCTCCACATTTTTTCTCTGCCTCAGAGTGCAAGTGGCATTGAACTCTTCCCAAGACAGAACTTGCTCTTGCACTTTGGAAGAGGCAGCCATGGCAATCCTGGAGCCGCACGCCGGGAATCCAGGCACAGACAGCCTCAGCAGCCACGGAGATGCCATCGCTAAACTCAGCCTCTTTCAGCTCTCTAATCTCATCAACATTCCTCGGCAGTTTCCCTAAAGAAGGATCTGTTATCGCAGCCTGTAGGTTCCCACACAGGCCATCCCAAGGCAGACTGTTTGCTGAGCACAGGGAAAGAGGGAGGCAGAGGGGGATTTGCAACTCACAATGTTATTTTTGTCTCGAAAGCACATCTGCTTAAGAGACAGAAGCCCCAGCAAAGGACCAGCAGCTGTGCAACGCCCCTTTGTGAGCCGCCGCAGAGGGGACAAAGTGTCACTGCTGATTTTAACCTGTGGGCACCGATCTCTGCAGTGTCACGGGTTGTGGTAGACACCGCGGCTCTCAGCAGCGGTGCATCCTGCTGGTCCACAAAGGACAGAAAAGTCCTCTCCAGCAGCTCTCCAAGAGGGCAGTGATCATGTGCAGGGCACACTGCCAGGCCTGGGCACAGATGCCCCTACCAGAAACGGGCAGCTCTACGCTGCACCGGGATCTGCATCGGCAAAAGGTGCACCAAGCAGATAAATGGCCTGAGGTCACACCGCTGCTCTGCCTGCCTGCGCTTAGAGGCCACAGTCACAAAGGGCAGATGGAGCCTTCCAGCATAAACCAAGAGCAAAGAACTGAGCCCAGGCTGCCATGCGCAGAATGGCTTCCTCCCCATTATTACTGGAAACAAAATGAAAACCCCACCTATGTACAGGACAAACCCTCGGACCTGCCGGCACTGGTGCTGTCGCACCCTGGCCTTGCTGAGGCACTGGGCAGCAGCGTTGCCTGAGCCCGTCTCTTCCCCTGCTTGTACCCAGTGCCGGGGAAGGGGCTCTGCTCTGCAGGGCCACCGGGATGAGCGGGGGCATTGGACCAGTCTGGAGTCGTGGGCAGCGGGTCCGCTGGCAATGCCCGAGTCACCGCAGGAACGCACCAAGAGCCGGTCCCTGGGAAGGAGGTCGGCCGACGCTGAACGCTCTTGCCGACGCAGACCTGCTGAGCACCACAGCGGCTCCATTCCAGGCGCGAGACCTCCCAGAGCGGGCAGACCCACGGACACTCCCCGATCCCATGGGGAACACAACTATGGCATTGCCAAGGGAAACCTACCTGCCCAGTGCACACCTCGTGGTAATTGCACTCCCCTTCACACCTCTGAAGCATGGAAATGAAACTCGCCTACTCTCTGCAAAGCATTACTATTGATCACGAAACTATCCGCCCTCCCTCCACCTGGCCACAAGGAAGAAAGCTCTTCCTGACAGTCTGGGGCACCGGCATGGCGGGTCTGGGAAGCACCCAGCCCTTTGGGAACAGCACTCCCAAGCCACCAGGCATCCCGTCAAACAGGAGTTTCCTCCTGCCGCAGGATACCGGCGCCATGCAGAGGAGTTGTTTCTGTGCCGAGCACATTTGGCCAACAGGCAACAAAGAAAGAATTTGCCAGAACGGGAGCACGAAGAGCAGCGAAGCACCGTGTCCTCCGTAAGGCTCACGAGCAGAGGTGCCAGCGCATGGCAGCCCGCTGGAGCCGGAGCCCTGTCCACCCTGTCAGGCAGGCCGACTCCACACCCCTTTCTGCACACACAAAGATATCAAACTGCTTTTTAATGGAGGCTTTAGAAAACGGCACGTAGCGCAGGCTTTCAGGGGGACAGGAGGGATGGGACACCCCTGCTGTGCTGTAAAATGGCACCTGAAGCAATTTCACTCCCACAGTGTGCACTGAGGTGGGACTAACTTAAACAGAAACAAACACGAAAGGCAACCAGCACCTGCAGATGATAGACAAGGGGTCAAGCTCAAACTTGGTTCACTTTCCTCCCTGCCAGGTTCTGAGATCTAAGGCACTTCAGACAGTGCAGGGTCCTCGCATTTGCCCTGTCTGAGCAGCACAGATTTCACACTTGTGAAGGATTCTCAGTGCTGGAAACCCTCCAGAGTCACCCTCCAGCCTCAGAAAAACTAATCAATGGACAAAGGGTTAAAAGACATTTAAAGGAAATCAGAGGTCCCAATAGAATTTGGGGGACATTCAGTTCTCCATCATTTCTGTCCACCCTATGGCAACGTTTCTCTAACTAGATGTACCGCCTGCCGGCCAGCTGCTCATGTCCCCGCCTGCATTTGCCACTTAGCAGGAGGGGCAAATTCACCCTGAAAGGCGGCATTTTCCAACGCACTTGCATCAGCCAGTGCTACAAGCCCCAGGGAGCAGACACCACCCTGGTTTGTACAGAGGTTACCAACGGGACTTCTGAGAGGCCACGTAGGCTGTGGCCACACTCGGTCGCAATAAAGGGAGTTTTGCAGGCAGACTGCTCTTGCCCCAACACCCAGCGCTGGATGATGCTCAGCTCACCCTGCACCGCTTCCAGAGTCTCCGACCACTTTCACAACTAACTACAGGGCAGGTGGGGATTAAAAAAATAAATACGTCAATAGTCAGCTCCCCTGTCCAGGTCTCTTCTGATTTCCGGGAGACCTTCAGTTCCAGTTACTTATCTAAGAGACGGTGAGTGTTTGAAATATAAAGGGCGATCTTGACAGGAGGAGGGGAGCAGTTTCCCAGCACCTCCCTTCCCGCTCTTGCTGTGATGGAATTTATCATGCACAATAAGCCCCTGCGTGTGAAGCTGCTTAAAAGAGACAGGAGGTAGCACAGAGACAAGGGAAAGTGCACCCCAGTGCCTGTCATTCTGCATGAAGAGGGCAATTAGCCACTCTCAATTCCTTTAGCTCAGCTGGTTCAATTCGCTATTGTGCAAAACTTCTTTTACCAAAGCTCCTGTTTACAAGCATCTCCGAAGGGTAGTGGAAATTCAACAGCAGCTTGCAGTCTACAGCTAAAAACATTGGTTTGATTACCAAGGAAAATTGCTGTGTATTGCTTTGCAGGGCTGTTTATCGAAGAACTAGCTCCTGTGTATTTCAAATCAAAGCTGCAACAGAAGGGAATTCATCTGGAAAACTATCTAGCGAACTCTATCTACAACAAAGCTGTTAAAAAGGTCTCACGTTTTTCATAAGAAGAAGGCAGAAAGAGTCCTCATCTTGGCTACAGAGATAAACATTAGACAAACATATCTTTTGCTGAAAAGGGTAAAAATGAATGCATGACAGTATCAGATGCAGGTATCAGATACATATACACAGCTTTAAAGACTTTTTATCATGTCCTTTTAACATGTGTAAGATCAAAGCCAAACATTCCAGAGAATTCCCAAAAAGCAGACAACGCATCAAATGTGCCTCCGCACCCTCAAAAGGAGAAGTTTTTCACGTCAAATACAGACACTCATGGCAAAGCCATTCAGTGCCCAACAAAGATACCCCACCCAGTCCCTTTTCACAGGCTGCCGACGTCCATGGTTTGGAACCCCCCACAGCCACAGGGGCGACCAGACTGCGAGGGTACGCACAAGCGTGCCCCAGTGACACACAAGTCAGCCACCCCTCACTCCCAGCACACCCCAGTCCGGACTCACCCCCAGGAGCAGCTCCAGGGAACCCTCTGCAGGGAAGGCCCCCAGGTCGACCAGGACAGCTTCCCTGTTACCAGGGCTGAGGGACTTCACACAGACACGTCAGCCCAGCACCATCCACCGTGCAATGACTTCCACGTCGTAGCCACCATTCTGTGCTTCCAGCACAGCTCCTGGTCAAGCACCAAGAGCCAATGCTTCACCCACAGCTCCAGCACCAAGAGCTGTGCTAAGAGCCAGCATCCTCATGGCTCACATCACGGCACACATCGTGCGGGCAAAGCAAAAGACTCCTTTTTGTCTCAGGGAATAAAAAGCAGCAAAAGCAAGATCTCCGGTGTCAGGGAGCTCCAGAGCAGAGTCAACAGACACATTTTACACGTTAGAGCTAGTCCAAGGCTCAGCAAAGCCACTAGTCTAGGTAGAACTGTGCTGATACTACAGCTGTAATTTGATGAATGTAAAATTATAGCAAGGAATTTGACTGTACAAGAGCAAAGAAAGTCCTAGGTCATGTTTTAATTTACTATTGCTCTTGGACACTGAGAGGACTTCATTTGTCATCAGGATTCCAGAAATGATGGGGAAGGAGCATCAGCAAGCCTGTGATGTACCTACACCGGCAGAGCACAGCGTTCGGCTGCACCACGAGAACACCGCAGTCAAAAAAGGTTGTCAGAGGTAAACTAAAAGGTGCACATGAACTTTGCTGGATACCGACATTTTTATTAACTCTGCACCCAGCACTTCACTTGCAGCTCACGCCTCCGCAGAAAGAGCGCATTAAGTTTGGGAAGGGTCTCGGTGGGGTGGGACGGCTGTCTCTGCAGCTTCACGCAGAATGACAACGGAGGACACAAAGAGGCAAAACCGAAACGCAACACAAAATCCGCGAAGAGCCCCAGACGCTCTGTCAGGGAGCGACGATCGGACAGCGCGTTCCCCCCGAGGTGAGGTCTCGCTCCTCCGCCCGCACCTTCGCCTCCCCCGCGGCGCCCCCGGCCTCACCGCCCCCCGCGCCGCTGCCTTCGTCCTGACTCCGCTCCGTCC